AACAATTTGGACGTATGTGGTATAACCGCCTCAATGAATGTCTAACTAAAGAAGGTTATACCAATGATCTTGAAAATGATATTTATATGAAAATCTCCGAAGTATTCAACATGCCTGAAGCATGCAAGTCAAGGACAATGCTACAGTGCCTATAGTTATGGTAACGATGTTAAGGAAACCTACTATTACAGGTTTCTATTACCTTTAGTGACAAATCAAATTTTTAGTGACTTTTTAAATATTATATTAAAATAATTAATATTAACTTTAGTAAGCTTTTAATTAACACTAGTAAGTATATGACTGAAAGATAAGTTTTAGTCAAAAATAGAAATTTACCCTTTCAATAATTTAATTTACTTATTATTTGACAAATGTTACTTTTGTTTAATTTAAACTTACTAATACTAAAAGTAAAAAGTTTACATATTAAAGTAAAAAAATAATCGGTTTCTGAAAAACGGTTTGGATTTTCATATCTCTCTAAAGTTTGCTTCCCTTCTTTTTGTTTTCTTCTCACCTCACGGAAGATTGTAGAAATTTTTTCCTGGAAAAGGAAGGAGTACGATCATCATCTTATGGAACGGGATTAGCTTTAGCTAAAATTTAGAAAATTGATCAAGCGGGCTAAGCAATTCTATCATATCTTCAGGCTGAACTCTTCTGGTAGGTTTCATGCCTCAGTCTCTTTTTCTGCCTTTTACTAAGCATTGATTCTCATTTCGGTCAATCAATTGGCCTGCCTAGGCGCGGAGGAAAAGCTAAATATGCTTTATAGATAGCACAGGTTCAGGAGAAAGGGTTTCCCCAATATCAGACACAACAAAAGGGTTAGCAACGGTGGTAGCCAACCAAAGAGCATATGAAAAATAGCGGTGACGAGGTTAGACCATCATGTTCTCTTGAAATCGTTTGATTATATTGCTGTAATTTATTTATATTTCATTTGTTTTGTTTGTCAAGATTTTCTTGCGAAATCAGGGCTGAGAATTTGAAGAATTTATTGCAATTTTGGGGTTGAAAATGTCCGTTGAAACATCTAGGAAATGGTTGTAGTTTTGATTGTCTACGGGTAAAATATGCTTAATAGCCATATGAAACATCTAGGAAATGACTTGAGACTAGGCGTTTAAGTTAAATGTGATTAATTTGGGAATGCATATAAGATGTTCGGTGAAATGTCAAAGAGAAATTTGTATGTTATGATTGCTACTCTGTGCGGGTGTGAAAATTAAAAGTTCTAATTGCCAAATGGACTGTTACTATAGTTACTCAATTCCCAGTTTTACTTGGTCCTAGGAATCTTCACCGAAGAGAGAATGACATCTTACACTTCATCAATTATGAGAACTTAGCTTTAACAGATCTAACTCACTACACACCAATTGCATAGTATATATAGGCTCAAGAAAATTTGTAGTGCAAGGAATAATGACATATTCATTTCATACATTGAGTTTATATATATCTACGCCAAATGGGCAAAATATAAATCTCGAAGAAGTTATAACAAAGTTATGAGCATTTCAATCATAGAATTGTGTGGCAAACTCATTGGTTTTATATGAAGTTTAACATCTTGGATGTGCAAAAAGGTCGTAGTCTGATAAAGTGTTATCAATCGTGCTCGATATATTCTTTATTTAATATCGAATAATTTCTTCTCACTCAAATGTCGACTAACTTGATATAAATTATTTCTTTAATTGGACAACATGGTTTGTACATGGATATTTAAATTCAGGATTACACTTCATGTTGCAACTACAAAGACATTTTGAGATATAAATTTTTCTCTTTTTTTTTTCTTTTTTACCCCTAAGCATTGTGTGGATTTCTTTTTTGGGAAGCAAATGACAGCTCCTTCCCTTAATCTTGTAGTGTTGTTGATATCACACTATAGAAAAGGACAAACTAAATTAAATTATAAAAAAAGGAACAAACAAACTATTCTTGTAAATAGTCCTAAGCTATCCCCATTTCATTTCAACACCGGTATTTTGTAGAAAACTTTAAAAACTGGGTTTTGATTTTCAGTTTGGGGGACAAAATACAATTGATTCTTAAACATTTTAATATTTTTTATTATAATAGGATTTTTGATAACTACCATTGACTTTGTCTCTAATAATTTCGTAAGCACATTCTTGGCATATATACATAATCATAATTTATAGTCTTTTAGGGTCAACTTTCAGAAGCAGTCAAATGATTCGATATCTGTAAGAACATTCATAAAAGAGCAATAATGAGGACATAAAAGGCCATAAGAACATCCATGCACGTATCATTACATGGGATAGTGGTTGGAGAAAATGCCAATAATTTGCTTTCTCGGGTTGCTTTGAAATGAATAATTTGCAATACTATTTCAGAATCTCATGGGCTCAACTCTCAAGAGCCACCAAGTCAAGTGGGATTCTTTAGTTGTTTGAATCAAGGTATACATGCCGGAATTTAGCCCCAAAATAAATAAATAAATAGCAGTATATGCCTTGCATGTGACTGCAATTAGAAAGTTGCTAATTAATTTATTCAATTTTGTCTTCTTGAATTCCTCTAAAAGAAGGAAAAAATAAAAGAAGTGTTGGATTCAGAATCCGGAGAGCCAATGGCTTATCTGATGAATCTCAGTCAAGCTCGGGGAATCATATAGGATGTATTAACTAACTAATCAGAAAAGGTTTTATGCGAAGAAAATTGTACAAATTGCTGTTAACCTGAGCCATCTATATGTGTACCGCATGCAAATATTCTCAATACCATGGGGACTAGAACAAAATTGGCAAGGAACCCCAAATAAAGAGGAAACCAAAACGTCTATTCAACTCGAGAAAGCAATTCAAGCAGCTCGAAGATTCAGCAATTCAAGCAGCTCGATTTGGTGCGTTATGTGCATTAAATAATCAAATGTGTTTTTATGCAGTTAAGACACAGCAAAGATATGATGAAGCTAGAGACTGCATTATAAATTCAACATCTCGTTTCAAAAATCTTTGGGTGAATGATGCTCATCTAGTACATAAAGGTAAACAAAAGGATAATATGATGGATGAGTCCATGAAGATGAGTGCTTTTGATGTTCGTGATCCAATTGTTGTTGCTACAAAGGGACAAAAGGCAAAACAGTCCACTCACAAGCGAAAGCGAAGACGATGCAAAAATTGCAAGTAATCACCTACTCTTAAAATTGACTTATTCTACGGTTAGAATAGCTTTGCAAAACCAGATATGAATGAGCAATGCTAAATTTCATCCACTCATTGGCTTGATGTTAGAAGGCCAAAAATGTTACTTATATATGTACACTTCATATACTCCTTTATAAATTCAATCTTTTTGTTTATGGGATAGAGACATAAGCCGATGTAAGCATCAAATGATTGATTTTCCTTATGATGATATACTATGATTCTCTGCAGGCTGTTGCTTCTTTCAGATTAATCTAGTTGCTGCAAGTGCGGTTCATTATAATTAGGCTGGAATTCCGAATTTTAAGGCCTGAGGTGGAAGAACACGTTGCATGGAAACTTTAAATCTAGCATTGCATTTCAATGTAAGGAGGTGAAATTCTATTTTCTAGTGACTTGTTGGTCAATTTGAATTAGATGGACCTTTGTTTACTCCAAGTACTAAATAAATAGGCGAGTAGATTCATTCTGATGCTCAAAATGAGCCGTTTTCTCCTATTTTGAAATACCAATTTCATATCAAATGTCTTGTGCATGTGGATTTTGTTGTTTACTTCAAATTGGACTGGTTTACTTGATCAGCAGAACTCGAAAAGGAACTCAGATACTCATGTTATACAATACTCAGCACACGGTTTTTTAGGCTTTAAACTGGATAGATCCCGGAAAACTTGAAGATGTGTTGTGGAAGTGGTGCGACTGCTATGCTATCTTAATAGTCTGCAATTTCCTTCTACGAAATAAGCACGACATGAACTTTCCCTTGGAGTTTTTTGCTGTGTTAACCAAGTACCTGGGCGTTTATGTGCTTTGCTTGTATCCATAAAGCAGGAATTTCGAAACTCTGGAGCTTGCGAAATGAGTTTTTGAGTTTGAAACCAAGCATATGGTTTGTTTCTATTTGTGATTTGAGTTCAGGAGGATGCCCTTACCATATTAATGGCGGTGTAACATCCATTCTGTTGTAGGAGCACGTACTCTTTTTTTATTTCTGCGAGCATTAGAAGTTTTTACTCCTAAACGAGTGTATCGTTTCGACCAAAAAAAAAAAGTGTGTTGCGATGTCTATATAGGCTGACGACAGTTTTACGAGAGAGCATTGGCCTTTGTGAATTTAAGTGCTGCGATTTCCTCAGTAAGCCCTTACTAGAAGTCCAAACAAATAGTATCTTCCAACTTCCTCTACGAATAAACAACTAATCCACCTTTCTATTTAATGACAATCTGCCATTAGGAATAATGGGACAAACTTTTTGCTAGGTACCTGCCTCATATTAAGTTAATTCCTGCATCCCTAGACACAGAAGAACCAAGCTGCTCAAATTAGTGGTTGTCATATGCACTCGAGAGAACACTGCTTCTCTCTTCAAATATAAAGCACATTTAGTAAGATAGGATAATATTCTATCTTCTGATTCCCAGCTTGAAGCTAATTACTTTTCTTATGAATAAGGATGAATTCAAACAAAAAGCTCAATAAGAGACGTACAGTTACAACATGGAAAAAAAATACTGAATAGTAAAAAAAATTTGATAAACTCCAAACACATTACCGAGACAGCCGTTCTGCTAATTCTCCATGGCTTTTAAGCACATTTTAAATTATTAAGAATAACAGTTATGAAAGTGCTCATAACACAATTATGAGCACATACTTACTAAATACGATACTCCTTATTAAATACGTTCTTCTGCCTTATTAAGTACTTGTTATTCAGCTAGAAATAGCAAAGATAAATTAGAATTTTTCCCAACTATGAATACTTTCATTGTTCATCTTCTCTGCAAATGATCTTGTAGAAGAAATCCTCATGCATTCTTAGGGTGTAGGACCAATTCCATTGCAATGTTAAAACGTTCAGTCTCGGATTGAAACTAAAAATTCATGACACCATAATAGAATTAGCGAGTTAACCATGCAAGTAAAGATAGCAGTTTATTGACATTTAAAATTATTCACCACAAAAAACTCATATTAAATTATAAAACTATACCATGATTGAACTCATTTGTTCCACTTCAGCTGACTTCATGAAATTAATAACGTATACACCACAATCATTGCTGCATGTAAACCAATCATCACAATAAATGAAAGAAGAGATTCCAATGCACTGCACAATAACATCATTAATGAAAGTTACCCATTCAGCTGTTTAGGAATGTTAGGAGATTCGTCAAATTCAAATGACGATGCCTGAAACTTGTACTTATTCGCAAATTTGTGTTGTAGTACAGTATCAAGATCTTGCACCTATTATCCAAAAATAAAATCCCGATTGTAACACAAAATACCCATATCATTATTTGCTACACAACTTAAAAGGATACTTACTAACTTCCTAACCACAACACCTCGTTGCTTTGTTGAATTAGGCAACGAATCCAGTATGTAAACTTTCTTTTTAACAAAGTCAACTAGTGTGCAATACCAATGTTGGTTATCTTCATTTATTGGCACAAATATCTGCAAGAACATGTATAGTTTAGGAAGATAATTACTTAACTAAAATTAGTTTAAAACCCAAGAAAAATGCATAAATTTTAAACATTATTTAACGAACCTTCTCACACATCTCAATGTTTCCTCCATATCTATCAGCATCAAAATATATTGAAGTAGTTGTAAGGTCAGGTTCGGCATTTTGTAATTTGCACTGCACAATTTTACCGAAATTATAAAATTTTCAAAAACATATGCATTAATGACAACCATAATCCTTTAATGATATGTCAACATACCGTGAAGAAAGTTGGCATGTACCATGTGTTATATGTTTGATCTTGATGGTCATGCTCAGAGTCTAACCGGAGCATGTTTGCAACAAGATTGATTGGCTGCAAGCACATTACAATTCACCTCTACCCCTTACAATCAACATATGTTGGATAGTATATCTACCTTAAAAAATCAAGTTTTTAAGCATTAGAAAACTCACACTTTCAGTAAGCCAGGATCTCGGTTTCAAGCATGCCAGATCACTCCTTGAGGCAAACTCCTGTCCATTGTGCACAATTGGTTCGCTGCAAATAATTGTTAATTGAGTCTACAATTAATAACAATGATAATGCTAAAATAGTTGTTATGAAAAATCCACTATTGTCCTTCAATATATTACTGCTGATTATATTTTTCGTTAAATATGTAGTCCAGGATTCTCGCTTTATCACTGGAAAACTGCTGCAATATATACTCTTCATCTAATATTCTTTCTTGCCCTGCAAGCTGTTTAATAAACCATATGAAACGTAAAAATTATTTCAAACATGTATCATAAAGATGTAATATGTTAAATGTATCATTTGAAATGAAACAACCATATTATATACCTTGTCTTCAATCTACATATTCTGTTAATGGTTAGTATATATGAAATTGTATTTTCCATTTGTAGAAAAATAATATGCATTTTATATCTACTAACGAATAAATTACTGATGTTTTGAACAAATCAAACCTAAACTCATGTTGTGATATGTATATAGTTGCTCACATTTATAGTTTTGCCATCATCCTTTCTTCCCATTTGCTTTGTAATACTGCAAATTTCTTTTGATTACATTTAGGGGTGGCAATTTCCGACACGAACTTAACACGAAATTAATGGGTTCGGATTGAGGTTTCGCGGGTTCGGGTCATAATCAAGCCGAATCCGATTTACCCGAAAAGAAAACGGGTTGAAGTCAGGTCAATCCATGGGTGATTTGATAAGCCCCGATAACCTGCTTACGAATTAAAAATTATGTTATCTAACTTTCCTAAGTTATTCTTTTTTTCCAAAGGCATTAATCATTTAATCCTAAATGAATTTATTTAACTTGTGTGAAATTGAAATTATTATATTTGGACAAATAATGTATTATATTATTTTTTACTTTTATACTGTTTTAATTTATTCTATATTTGTTTTGAGATAAAATACTTTTACAGTGTTTTAATTTATTTTAGATTCGGTTTGGGATTATTTATTTAAATTTTTATTACTTGATTATGTAATTAGTCTTGTGCAAAATTGGTTTTATTAGAAATTACAGTGATAAATTAATAAATTAAAATTAAGTTTCGGGTCATTCGGGTCGGCCTGTCAACCCACCAACATGAAATTTTTTTATTCGGGTCAGATATCCTAACCCATTTCGGGTTGGTAGGTTAGGTTCGGGTCAGCGAGTTTTCTATTATACCCCGTCTCAACCCGACCCACCAATCCGATTTGGACCCGATTGCCACCCCTAATTATATTGGTAAAAAAAATAATATATTTTACAAATTATTCCAATGTATTTGGAAAATGTTACTAATTTCATTACAAATTATGAAATGTAATCACGGTTTACTAATTTTTTACTAAACATAAATACTCCACACAAAAGAAAAAGATATTTGACTTTGTTTTACTTTGATTAGAAAAACTTGTGGTAGTAATAACGAAATAGTGAAAGTGGTGCAAATTTCAAATCAACAACCAATGTACACTTAATTACGGTAATTTTTTAGTTGATTAGACTAATATATGCCATAAAGTAGTAAGATTTGATCATTTATAAATTGACAATTTTAGCAGTTTATATACCATTAACCTATAAAAATTATGATTATTATAAAATGACATTTTAAAATAATTTACATACTATTTGCCAATTAAAAGTAAGTTTGATAAAAAATGTGCATATAAATCCATATTGTGAATGATACAAAATATATTTGAAACTCACGAAACTTAATATATGGGTAAATTTACTATAATTTTAAAAGATTACGCGACACTAGTACAACTTTACCTTTTATACTTGTGACCTAGAAAATAAATTTATTAAAACCCATAACATTTATAAATGATACATACATTTATTAAAATGCTTAAAACACAAAACATTTATGAATGAAACATACAATCATGTATTATACATTTACGTTACCAACAACTACTAACTATAATATAAAAAATCATAGCACTAGTTTAAATAAACTTCCTAATTCTTGTTTCATATAAGTTTCTTTAAGTAAAATAGTAAATTTATGCTACAAAGTACAAACTAGTAAGTTTTGATGATTAACCAAATTTACTATTCTATCAACAAGATTTACTATTAATCTATAAAAACTTACTATTACTTGAACTAAACTTACTCTCCAAAAACTAAGTTTCGAATATAGAGTAATAATTTATAGTTAAAAAAAAGTAGTTTTCATTTTTATTTCGATTTACTTTTTGAGACATAAATAGGATAACACTTATATGACCATTTTCGATTTACTTTTAGCGGCCATTTGACTATTTGATAGGCCTATCCACCTAAATAGGATAACACTTAAAGATAAGAAATTAAGTTTCCCATCTAAAATAGTAAGTTAACAGTAATAAATTAGTAACTTTTAAACTGCAAAATGTAAATTGGAATAAATATTAAACTTACTTTTTAAATAAATAAATTACTACTTTATATCCCAAACTTACTTTTTAGAGTGTAAGTTTAATTCAAGTAATAGTAAGTTTTTATACATAAATAGTAATTCTTACTGATAACATGGTAAAATTGATTAATAATCAAAACTTACTGATTTATGAGACACATGCACTATTTTACTTTAAAACATATTTCAAACTAGTATTAGGGAATTTATTTGAAATAATGATAAGATGTTTTATTAATGATTAATTCTTAGTACCTTAGTTAGTAAGTACTCATAATATACATGTATAATACATGATTATAGTTATCATTTAAAAAAAATTTGTTTACATATTTTAAAATACTATGAAAAATAGTTTGACTTTTCACATAATCTCGTAAAATATGTAATAAAATTTTGTCGTATTATAAGTTTTTAATCATTTTCAATTTTTGAAAAGTTTGAAAGTTTGGATAACAATAACAACAAATCTTCCTAGTTATATATAGAATATTACTTGTTTATATATCAAAATTTTTATAAATGAACACCTATGAATATAATAAGATGATAAAGTTTTAATAAATTTACGTTTGAGTCACAAGGAATAATAAGAGTAAAAGCCTAAACAAAATGAGAAATAATATAATAATAAAAATGATAAAATTAGTATAACATTTAATATAAGAAAATCAGTATGATCTGGATTTTTTTCCTTGGGAAATTGTTCATAAGAATAGGATCCAATAATTATAAATGAAAATCACATGCATATATAATCTATTGTATAATTTAAATTAAATTTAGTTCATGTATAAAATGGTCCTAAAATAATTAGTACACAATGATACAATGTTATTTTAACAACAAAAATTTTTTTTTTACTAAAAGTCTGAAATATCCATGACATACGTATGAGGAATATTTTACCATATTTGTATCTCACATCTAATCATGAAAGTTAATTTGAGAAAAAATATTTTTGACAATAGAACTATTTTGAATTTAGTCAACAAGTTTAGATTTTTTAAACAATAAAAGTGAAATATTATGGGAACTTAGTTGTTTATTTTCCCATAATTAAAAATTGCTATATTTTAGCAATTGTTGCCATTGACTTTTCATTCTGTAGACTAATTTTTATCAATGCAATATTAGTTTTATTAGCAATCATTGCGGTTCCATTGATCCGAGAATGGGCATTTTATTGCTATTATTTTATATCTAAATATTTAACCTAAGTAATAAAATAAATAATAGCTACTTAAAAAAAAAAAGGAAATTGGTGTTCAATTGATTGTGGTGTAAAATATTAATATACAATTAACTAGAGTTTGAAATGGAATTAAATTTATTTAGTATTTTACTGCTAACAACTTTGACCCCCCCATTTAATGGTTAAACAAAAAATAAAAGAGACGTAGAGACTGTGAATGGTTCTTTAGTGTGAAAAAGGAAAGTTCTTCTAAACTAATGCTGCATAAAATTTTGGATGCATATGAAATTAGAAATGTGATAACTTTGCAATTCATTTTCATTCATGATGAATTTCTTCGATTCTATATAGAATTGCAATTTTTTTCGTTCAGCATGAAAACGTTCTTTTTTTTGTCATATTGATGGCTTTTGCTTTTAAGATTATCTACATGTCGGTGGTTAGTATTATTGACAAGGTTAGAGGTCATGGAAAATGTTACTAATTGTAGGAGAAATTATGTATTGTAAAATTGGTTTAATAATTTTCTATTAAGCATAACTATTGCATACAAAAGGAAAAGATATTTGATTTTATTTTGCTTTGATTAGAAGAACTTGTACTAGTAATAAAGGAAATTTCAACTCAACAATCAATGTGCACATGATTACAGTAATTTTTTAGTCATTTAGACAAATATATGCCATAAAGTAGTCAGATTTAGTCATTTGTGAATTCATAATTTTAACAGTTTACATAAAATTCATCTATAAAAACTTATGATTATTATAAAATGACCTTTTATAATAATTTACTTACCATTTGCCAATAAAAAAAAGAGTTTGATAGAAAACATATGGATACAAATCCATAATGTAAATGATGTAACGTATGTTTGAAAGTCACAGAACTTAATATATGGGTAATTTTACTATAATTTTCAAAGATTATGCTATGTTAATACAACTTTAATTTTTATACTTGTGACCCAGAAAATAAATTTATTAAGATTTTACCATTTTATTAAATTCATAGGCATTAATATATGAAAATTGCGTACCATTTTATTATATTCATAGGTGTCCATATATGAAAATTGTGATGTATAGATAAGTGCAATTCTATATATAACTCGAAAGATTTGTTGTTATTGTCATCCAAATTTTCTAACCTTTCACAAATTCAAAAATAATTCAAAATTTATAATATGACAAATTATTCTTACATATTTTATAAGGTCATATGCAAAAAAATAAGTTTTCA